TTGCTTCCGTCATTAAAGTACGCACACAAGGCGCAATATAGGATGGCTGCAATTATCGCGCCATCGTTCAGGACTCGACGACACGTGTCATTCTTATGACATAGCCACGTCATTACCTGCTCCTAATACTTTTGCCATTTTTAGGTTTCTCTCTGCCCAAAAAAAAAAAATCAGTCCTTCACTTTGTTACCGTCTCTCTTCTACTTTGAGCTTCGTTGCAAATCGAATCGATTTTTGAGTTCTTCACCGTCCGATTAACCGGCGATGGGATCTTCCCTCGATCCGGGCGAGTTAATTGAGTTAGCTCAGCCGAGTTTCGATGAATTTCAGAAACAGACGTCTCTGATGACGAGCTGCTCTCTTCTGTGGCAAGAGCTTTCCGATCATTTCACTTCGATGGAGCATAATCTGATGAAGAAATCGGAAGCTCTGAAACAGATGATTGAAACCCTAGATAATCAAACGCAGACTTCGATCGAGTTACTCAAGCATCGCGAGGTCACTATTGACCATAGCGTCGAGATCGCGGCGGTGAAAGTTGATGAACGAGCTAGAGCTGCACTGGAATCGCTCGAGAAATCTAGAGACGGCGCCGATGACGATACCGGCGAGGTAGATGATGGTGAAGGGCTTTTATCGGAACTGAAATCGCTTTGCCTGAAGATGGATGCAAGAGGATTCTGGGATTTTGTGATCGCGAGGAAGAAGGAAATTGAGAATCTCCGGTCACAGATTCCGGTGGCGTTAGTGGATTGTGTTGATCCGCCGAAGTTAGTACTTGAAGCTGTATCTGAGGTTTTTCCGGTGGACAAAAGGGTTGGGGAGAGAGTAACCAACGATTTTGGATGGGCTTGTGTGGTGATTCTTGAGAGCTTGATACCAGTAATGGTTGATCCAGTGATGGGTAAATCTCGTCTTCTTGTGACTCCTAGCGTTAAGGAGAAAGCTAAGGAGATTGCTGAGACATGGAAGGCGAGCTTGGAAGAGAGAGGAGGGATAGAGAACGTGAAAACACCCGATGTTCACACGTTTCTGCAACATCTCGTGACTTTTGGAATCGTGAAGAAGGAAGATCTTGCTTTGTACAGGAAACTTGTTGTTGGATCAGCTTGGCGTAAACAGATGCCAAAGCTTGCTGTTTCAGTTGGTTTAGGTGACCAAATGCCTGGTAAAACTCTCTTTATCCTTCATTTCTCATAGTTAGTGACCCAACCTTAGATGTTGTTTATCTGTATCTGGGGAAGCTGAATGTTGTTTTCTTGGTTCTTTCTTTTTTTTTGTTCATGGGAATTTGTGAGTATTGGGCTGAAATGGAGAGTGATGGTTTTTGAGTTGTTATGCGTTTACACAGATATGATTGAAGAGTTAATCATCAAGGGACAACAGCTTGATGCGGTTCATTTCACTTTTGAAGTTGGTCTTGTACACAAGTTTCCTCCTGTTCCTTTGCTCAAAGCTTATCTGAGAGATGCAAAGAAAGCAACAGCTTTGATCACAGAGGACTCAAACAATCCTGGCCGAGCTGCGGTATTGGGTTTCTTTCTCTAGATTCTGTTGCAGGGATTTCTCTCAGTCCATAAAGTTTGATTTTTTCACTCATTGTTTATATTTTGCTAGCATCTTGTGGCTCGCAAGGAGCAATCAGCACTCAGAGCAGTTTTAAGGTGCATAGAAGAATACAAACTCGAGGAAGAATTCCCTCCCGAGAATCTCAAGAAGCGATTGGATCAGCTTGAGAAGACGAAAACCGAGAAGAGAAAACCAGCATCGATTCCAGCTAACAAGAGAACCCGAGCAAGCTACAACGGTCCAATGCCACCAGCCAAAGCAGGGCGTATCGCAAATGCGTATGTCTCCTCCTTCCCACCATCCCCACCAACATTCATCAGATCACCAAGCCACTCTCCTCAGTACAGTGTACCAGCA